AAACGGTCACGCCGGCACGTGCTCACGGCAACCGTAGCCGGCGGAAAAAGCCGTTTGCTCTACGTCACCGACATTAAAACGAAAGTCCGCTACCTCGTCGACACCGGCGCAGAAGTTAGCGTTCTTCCAGCAACGACAAAGGAGCGTCATCTCGACCCATCCTTCAATCTTCAAGCAGCCAACGGCAAGGCAATCGCGACATTCGGGAGACGGTATGCCTACCTCAACTTAGGTTTACGCAAACCTATTCACTGGATTTTCCTCCTGGCAGACGTCTCTATGCCCATCATTGGCATAGATTTGCTGAACCATTACGATCTACTCGTAGATGCTCGCCGTCGACGACTGATAGATAACAACACAAAGTTATCTATTGGCGGCACCACCTATGTAGGTCCGAGTTTAGCCATCGTTAGGACTAAACAATCAGGCGACGCGTCCTACCAGGCAGTTCTGGAGAAATATCCAGAGTTACAACAACCGAAACACACTCTTCCGTGCATAACCAGCAATGTTATGCATCACGTCACAACCACAGGTCCACCTGTGGCATCCAAAGCTCGCCGTTTAGCCCCCGATAAGCTGCAAACGGCGAAAAATGAATTCGACCATATGCTCGAACTGGGCATTATCAGACCGTCGAACAGTCCTTGGGCATCGCCATTGCACATGGTGCCCAAAAAGGATAGCAACGACTGGCGTCCGACCGGTGATTACCGAAGGCTTAACGCCAAAACAACTCCGGACTGCTACCCTATACCCCACGTTTACGACTTGACCGCAACCTTATGCGGCATGAACATTTTCTCGAAAATCGACTTAGTCAAAGCGTACAACCAGATACCTATGGCAGCAGAAGATATCGCGAAAACAGCCATTATTACTCCTTTTGGCCTGTTTGAATTCCTGCGCATGCCTTTTGGTCTTCGGAATGCAGCACAAACATTCCAACGCTTTATGGACGACGTCTTCCGTGGTCTGAATTTTGTTCATGTCTACATAGATGACTGTCTAATTGCGAGTCCAGATAAGGAAACACACCTTAAACATTTGGACCTCGCATTCGAAAGACTCAAAAAACATGGCATCACAGTTAACTTACAGAAGTGTGAAATAGGAGTTGAATCACTCAGCTTCCTTGGGCATACCATTGACAACAAAGGTATACGCCCATTGAGAGATAAAGTGGCGGCTATCACAAACTATCCAGAGCCGACCACTGTGAAACATCTCCGCACTTTCAATGGCCTGGTAAGTTATTACCGAAGGTTTATCCCTAACTGTGCCTCTGTCATGAGACCACTCACAGATCTACTTCGAGGAACTGCGAAGTTCGTGTCTCTGGACAACGCGGCTAGACTTGCTTTCTCCAAAGTCAAGGAAGCCATTTCGAACGCAACCATGCTTATGCATCATGACCCCAATGCTCCTCTGAGTATTGCTGTTGATGCATCTGATTCAGCAATTGGAGCAGTTTTGCAACAGTTGACTGACAACCAGTGGCAACCGTTAGCCTTTTTCTCGAGGCGGCTGCAAGACGCGGAAACAAGATACAGTACATTTGGTAGGGAACTCCTAGCCATGTACTGTTCTGTACGCCATTTTCGACATTCTGTGGAAGGTCGTGATTTCATTATTTTCACAGACCACAAACCGTTAACGTTTTCCCTCAGCTCGGCGTCTGACAAATACTCCCCTCGTGAGTCGCGACAGCTGGATTACATTTCCCAGTTCACGTCAGACATCCGCCACATTTCTGGAGCAAACAACTCCGCAGCCGACGCACTATCTCGAATAGCTTCGATAAACTATATCGAGGGTATTGATCTCGTTGAACTAGCTCGGCGTCAAAAGGAAGACCTTGAGCTGCATCATGAGTTGTCGTCCACAACTCTCAAACTGCGACTTTGTCCTGTTGGATCAGACAAGGATGCAATTTTGTGCGATGTCTCTGCTAGTCAACCACGCCCAATAGTTCCGAAGAGTTGTCGACGCAACGTCTTCAATACGTTGCACAAACTCTCTCATCCAGGTGTACGAGCCACCATTAGGCTTATCGCACAACGTTTCTGCTGGCCTGGGATGAACAAAGACGTTAAGGAGTGGGCCCAGTCGTGCTTAGCTTGTCAAAAGTGTAAAGTCACGCGACACACGAAAAGCCCTTTAGGCTCATTTCTAGCCCCAGACATGCGTTTCGACCACGTCCATATAGATATTGTAGGACCCCTACCAGAATCTAATGGATGTACCTACCTTTTCACCTGTGTTGATCGTTTCACACGATGGCCGGAAGCAGTACCCATTAAAGATATTACTGCCGAAACAGTTGCTCGTGTTTTCGTCGAAAGATGGATCGCGAACTTCGGATGTCCATCCTACGTCACAACCGACCGTGGGCGCCAATTTGAGTGCGGACTATTTCACGCTCTAACGGCACTTTTAGGTTGCACTCGGTTCCGAACGACAGCCTACCATCCACAAGCAAATGGCATGGTAGAGCGTTTCCATCGACAGCTGAAAGCTTCCCTTTCAGCTACAAACATACCTCAGTGGACCGAGGCTCTGCCTCTAGTCCTACTAGGTATTCGTAACGCGTTGAAAGTTGATGCTGGATGCACTCCTGCAGAACTCGTCTATGGGACCACTCTTCGCCTACCAGGTGAGTTTGTTTCCCCTTCAACTTTCAAACATGTTTCCGATAGGGCATCTTATGTGACTAGGCTTACAAACGCAATGCGTTCAGTTAGGCCTTCTCCGATTAGACCGCAAACGACTGATGTTTTCGTCCACCCCAGTTTACAGAAGACATCACACGTGTTTGTTCGCCACGACGCTGTTCGTCGACCACTTGAACCACCCTACGACGGGCCGTTCAAAGTGATTAAGCGACATGAGAAATTCTATGTAATTGAGCGAGGCGGACGCGAAGATACTGTCAGTATCGACCGTTTGAAACCAGCTTATTTCGAAGGCAACCCCATTGTAAGTGACGTTTCAGCTCGCTACATCCGGCCGACGGATGACTCAATTATCGAAATTCTCGACGATGTGCCTGGTAATGCACAGCTGCAACAACCAGCGGCGCAACAAAAAACACGATCAGGTCGAACCGTCAGGTTCCCAGAGTACCTGAAGTCATATTCAACTTAGCTATGTGTGTGCCAACCATTTTTTTCGAGGCACTATTTTTCTTATTTACCGGCACAAACCCTCGTACACTTTGCCTTTTTATATCAATTTTTATTTACCATGTAATAAAAACTAAAAAAACGGCGAAGATAAGCGTAAATTTTTCTTTTTCGACACGTTTATATATAAATAATTCCCATTTTTACGCAACGTTTTCGTGGTATTAAAGACTTTTATTTATATTCCAGGTGCAACGAGCACTGGACGGAACGTCGAAAGGAACAGATGACCGCGACCGACGTACAATTTCATTTATTGTATTTTATTTATTTAATCGCCACGACACCCTAGAATAAGGTTCAGACAACCAGGGGCCACCTCACGCAGTGAGCCCATCGGAGAGTTTTACCAGTGGAGAAACCACTGGGTTTTTACTTCCGGCTGGTATCGTCTTAGGGTCCTCACGAACCCACTAGGGGGGGAGTGATCTGTAGCGTCATACACTTCCCCAAAATCAATAGCCTAGGGTTTGACGACTTCGACATTGATGCTGACCTTGATAGTTTAACTGGACTCGCTAAGCTGAAGGCATCCGGTCAAGCATCCTCGCCATTTGGCACGCTGTCGTGTTACGTTGCATTGCTCGTATTCGACTCTCTAGCCAGTTAGTTGGAACGCATCGGTATTTTGGCATAACCATCCAAATATACTATTCCATCCGACTACGCTATCGTGTTCTTCCTTGGTCTCGTATTCGTGGGTATATAACAAGTTCGAATAATTAGTGATTGGTCTTTGCGTCTGTCAAGTTCGCACCAGGACAAATCCTAAAGAACTATGGCGGAAAAGACCAGGTCATATGAATATTATGATTCTTAATTGGACAAAAGCAAGTGAAGTGATTAACACATAGCAGGATGGTTAGGGGCCGAAATCCATTTTTGGGCTGTCGTGGTTTAGTCAATGACTTGACGATGTGAAAAAGGTTTTCTCTGATGAATTAAAAACTAGCTCCTTTATGATAAGGACGCAGAAATCAAACTGAAGTTCATATCCAAATGCTGAAACTTCTTCGAAGCTGGACACAGGAGTCTGTGTTTGTGGTCCACGTCTTGTGCTGTCGACAACAATCATTCCTGATATCTGTTTCTAGTTAGAGGGGTGCTGAGAAACATGAATTCAGCTCAAAATTGACCAGTCCTATATATTTGTAGAATATGGTGGATAAGAGAGGCGAAAGGGACTTTACGACTTCCAGCTACCTAAGTTTCAAGATTCCCAGCTTTCTTTCCGCACAAGTTCCCTTTAAGTAGATTCCAATTTCCCGTAATATCTTCTGGTCACTTCCACACTTAAAATGAAATTTTCGAATCCATTTCAACTCCCTTTCTGAATTTATTTGGGCAGTAGCAACCTCCAAGTACTTGTGACTATTCAGTGCAGAGAAGCAAATGCATAAAACTACTGTTGTGCAGCTGCAAAGGATGGAATCCCTGGAAAAGTTATTTTCGCTGCACTCCCCTTTTTATCTGGGAAATTCCCATCCTTAAGTTGTTAAAGACTATTCTCCCAACATTTTTTATGCCACGTTGAATGTCTAATTCGGATCCTGTCGCACAGATTGGTTCCGTTATGGCGAAGTTCCGTTAGCTCACAGAAATTTGTTAGCAGCACTATCAGGAGAGACCGGAATAATAACAATTAATAGTAAATGTCCTCTAAGGTTCCTTGCAGACGGAAGGGAGAAATAAGACCGTTTTGAAAGAAGGATCTCCGTTAACACAAATGAAGAACCCAAAAACTATCCGTGGCTACTTCTACAACACATGGTTCATGGTTTGTCAACATCTGCGTACTGGCGGCCTTTTCGAATGCGGCGGTACGTTCTCGGTTTTATCGCTTTTCGTAGTTCTCTGAGGTACTTTCGTCCCAAGAGACTTCCACACAATGTCACCAAGTTCTGCAACGAAAACGATTTAAAAGTGGTTTCCTACCTAACTTATGCTTATTGTTTTTCGGATTCCTTCTCTAACGAAAAATCCAATAACTTTCCGGCGTATGTATACGCCATCGTATGCATTTACGTCGTTGTACAACGATTTGACTCTCCTTTAATGTCTTTTCAATCTTTAGTGACACATATTTGGCCTGTTTTTCTTTTCAACCGCATTCAACATAGTTTTTATACCTCGTTCCTTATTTAGATATCTATGCATTTAAATAGATAAACAGTTGTATATCTTTTTCGGCTTTCAGCCATGTATCAGTACCTATGAAGTAGATTTATAAGATTGTCTTCCATCGAGTACTTTTGCACACTATTTTAAGCTGTTTTAGTTATGCACAAGATAGGCAGCACTGTGTGACTTCACCCCCTAAGGTTTGTCTTGCAAAATAGTACATGGTTTCATATAGATTTAGTGACTTGACACCAGACGATATGGGCTTACCAGATGTAAAAAGATTTTCGAGAAATTGGTCTGAGGATAATCGGTCAGTTGCAACAACAGGGTACTTTTGGATATCGTTTTTCTCACGTTATACTGTCAACCTTTTTTACCTGGTGTATGGTATCCCTAGTGTTCTGCAAACACTTCATATTACTCCGTCGTCGTAGTCAGTTTTCCTGTTTAACTTTTAAGGCATAAAATTTCATTCTGGATGTATTATGTTGTTCTTTTTACGTACTAATCAGCAATAACACGGGACCAGGCATTACTGCGTTACGGTTCAACTTGTCACACCTTGTATCAGTACACCAAGTAAAAAGGTAGTAAGGCGCAAGATGAAGATAAGAAAAATTCAGTCAAAAGAAATGTAATGTGCGAAACGAGAAAAAGGAAGAATGAGAAAGTAGTGACATTCGGAATAGCGTTAAGATGAGGATAGTGTATGTATGCATCTGTTGCACTGACATCGGTTCTGAGCCATATCCCCTAGACTCTCAAACCCCTGGTTTCTCCTGTCACGTGGACCCCAAGCGGCTAGTCTATATCGCCCATATGGCTCAAACCAACAGAGACTTCATGCATTAGTGCCATGTTTTAGTCTGGTCACCTCTGGCCTTTCTCCAGCCTAGACCTACTTCGGCCAACATTGTGTGATGAGGCAATCGGCGACTAGGTATACCTAATACGTATCCCAACCATCTCAGTCGATGACGGTTCACAACCATGTTAAGTGATTTACCTCTACTCCCTAAAACTCTACACCTGACTTCTGCGTTACTCACGTGGTGACACCACGGAATATGGCCTATGCTAAGAAGGCAACGTTGGTCAAACACTTGAAGCCTGATCATGTCTTCCACCTTCAGTCGCCATGTTCAACAGTCATAAAGTAGAACAGAACGAACTGCTGTGCAGTACACTCAACCCTGAATAGACAAACGGATATCAAGGCAGCCCCATAGGTGGCGTAAGTTGGTGAAAGCCAGCAGAGCCTTTTGTATCCGTGAAGAGGTTTTATCGGCCACTGAGCTAGTCACCAGGGCTTATCCTACTTCCCACGTAAGTGAAGTGGTCGACACATTCAACCACTACACTCTCTATTACTAACTGTGGTGGGGCACCGTTGAGGACCAATCCAGGAGCGACAATTTGCATTTGGGTAGTGAGAAACGCATCCCAAACATTCTCAAATTACCACTCAGTGTTCACAAGACTTTGCATCTTGTCAGCATCTTCATTTAACAGGGTTATGTCATCTGCATATTCTAGGTTGAATAAAAATCCTCCTGCGACTAGGTCAACGTCTGTGTAATCAGGTGACGAGAGGGAGACCTCCGTGAGAATATCTGTGATAAAATTGAATAGGAATGGCGACAGTGGGCAGCCTTAACGGACACTACTCGATGAGCATAGCCCCCTGGACATCTCACCGTAGGCTCTAACAAGCCTGCAAGTGTTTGAGTAGAGAGCCTTCAATAAGGTGATGTACTTACTCGGCACTCCTTTCAGTGAGAGACATTGCCATAAGACTTCTCGATCAGCGGAGTTGATAGTCGCCTTCAGGTCGAGAAATACAGCTATTGTCAGGCGTCGTTAAGCATGCCTATGTTCCAGAACCTGGCGCAGTGTGAATATTTTGTCGATACACCCGCGGCCAGGTCTAAAGCCTGCCTGGTTTTCTCGGGCTTGTTGTTCCCGAGCTCTACTCAGGCCTCGAAGAATTATAGAACTTAGGATCTTGGACACTATGTTCGTCAGGTTGATTCCCCTGTGGTTATCGTAAGAGGACTTCTCGCCCTTCTTGAAGACTGGAATAATCAGTGATTCAGACCAGTCAAAGGGGATCGTACTTGATTCCCACATATTGGTTAACGCTTCCGTTAACCTGACTAAGAGCACCTTACCACCATCCTTGTATACCTCAGGAGTTAGTTCGTCCGGTCCTGCTTCCCTTCCTCGTCTCAGGTTACCTACTGCTCTCTCGACCTCTGCTAGTGTTGTGGGGCTTATCTCAATGTTCCATTCAGGATCCGACTGGATAGCGGGCAACGTAATGGTGACTGGAGGCCAGTTAAACTGTCCCTCGAAGTGTTCTGCCCTTCGTGTTAGTCGTCCCCCTTGCGAGTGTATCGCAGATCCGTCCTTCTCTGCTGTAGCCTCACTAACTTATTGCCTTTTCCCCCGTTTCCTTAATAAGTCTAAATAACTGTCTACTGGTACCAATCGCCGCTGCCTTTTCCATCTCTTTAGCCTTCGCTGCTCACTACTGTTCGCGGTCGTTGCGTAGACTTTTTCTCAGTCTACTTTTAAGCTGTGCTCGCTCTTCATTGTACTCGGGGCCTGCAGGGGGTGCGTTCACGTACATCCATTAGTTCGGAAGAAGCTGCTGATATCCACTGGCTGTTTCTAGCCGCTATTTTGGAGTCGGCTACGGTCTTCAGTGCTGCTTTTACAGCAGGCTGGAGATGATACCAAGCTTCTTCTGGATGAGTGACAGTCTTTTGTTCCGATAACTGCCTAGCCAACTTCTCACTGAACACGGCTTTGGTGTTTTCTTTGTCCAGCAGTTCTCGTGGTGGTTTTGTTGCCAGGTGTTTCCTACATCCATTGAGACGCAGGTATATACGTGCTCGGACCAACGCGTGGTCGCTATCCAAACACGTACTCCAGAAGGAACAGCAGTCTTCCACCGATCCTCTCCAGCGATGAATAATAGCAATGTGGCCTATCATGGCCCTTGAGGGTAGAAGACATGAAGCGGTTACAGGGTTTTAATCACAGATGTCTTCGTAACATTGCTCACTTATGGTGGAATCGCCGTGTGAGCAATGTTTAGGTCAGGCGAGGGATACTAGACAAAATAGACAAGTTGATTGGTAAGGTTATAAAATTCAGTCGACTGAGATGGTTTGGTCATTTATTGCGCATCCCGATCCACCGCCTACCCTGCCGTGCAATGCTAGGAGAAGTCGGATTAGGTTGAAAAGGAGTTTATGGTGGCCAGACTAAGACATTATCAGTCGATGAATCCCTTGACTGTTGTGAGCCGTTTGGGGAGATGTAGAATGCCTAGCTGGGGTCCTCGAAACGATTGGAATCAGAGGTTGAAAACTCTTGGTGACATGCCTAAAAGTCGGTCACAGTGACACGGATATATTCACTCTTTGACATCCAAAGCTTAAATGTTCTGACTAACCTTAATTTTTAAATTCACTCTCCTCTCATACAGATTTATCTACTCTGATATAATTTTTTCCTGTTCTTTGTATACTACTGTGAAGTGCGTCAAATTGAACCTTTGCACCTGTCTACGAGGTCCCATATTGATTTTGTCTATTAAGCTCTTGCCATTGACTAGATAGTCTCATGTTCTCACCTGGCTTCACCTTCTTCGTCTTGAACAGATTAACAGTATCATGAGCCCTAACAAAATCAGTTTACATTTTGCATCCCGTTTAACCGTTAACTGTCTACTTCTCTTGCTTTTCTACAGACTGAAGATGACCACAGATGAAGTTAGTATACGGTCCAGATATATGGAAAAACTTAGAGAACTTCATTTGAAAGTGGTAAGTTTACGGTGTTCCTTATCCATTTTAAGCTAACCTACCCCAGTAACTATCTGGAAGTTCATTGTATAGTGAATTCAGTTGGTTATCTTTTTAAAATCAGAGTAAGATGGGCTACCATTTTGTCGCTTTCTTACTGAGTACAGTCCCAGTTGACGCATAGTAAAATAAGCGATATGTGTATCTATTCATTTACTTTCAGAATGATCATTTTAGTATGCTTTTTCAAAAAAAGCATTCTTAAACTTCACTAGAATGAAGACAGTTGAACTAATTTCGGTATTCTTAACTTTTACTTCCAGAGCTAGAAAAAAACTATCTGATTAGCTAATGTAAGGGTCTAGCAAGAAAGTGAACCATTTATATTCAACCAAATCCCTATGAGAAGCCTTTTGCAGAGTTATAAATTAAAACAAAAAGTGCTCCAAATATGATTTTTAGGGGGTAAATGGACTCTTTAGTGAATTGATGATTAGGAGTCTGTTTTTGTAGTATTCACTGAGGAGTTTCAAAAATGCGATTTACTGGAGCTAACTGAACTATCTAGTATACAAGTACTTGTACAGAACCTATTCATTCACCGTAGTTATATTGGGAGGAGAAATGAATCTATACGATACACTCACTCCTATTTTCGTGGTGCATTATCTCCGCTAGCTAACTAATAATACCTACTTCATTCAGGTCATTTTCGTGGAAATACGTTCACTTTTATACTGTTAAATGATGAGACTTTAAGTTTTATTTTGTCCTTAGTGAGCAAGAGATAAGAGAACAATTATTCCGGAAACAAAGTATGCAACAAAACGCTTTAAAATAAATAACAATTATCTTCCTTTTAAACAATCCAAGAACAAAGACATTTAAAGGACAAAATGAGTTCATTTCATTTCATGGCCTTTCATCAGCTGCAAACAACTTACAACTGAAGTAGAGTTTAGCAGTAATAATGGCATGATGTACTTTAAATATGTAGAAATAAATGAAGTGAGTCAAGGAAATCCAAGAATAATAGTTACAAATCTTAGTCAAAATCAATGGGTGTTTATATCTGATGAGATAGAAAATTTTACAGTTGTGGACTGGTGGGGAGACAACAAACAAAAATCAGTGTAAAAGAAGGGCAAAAGGTTATATACAGCTACCAAAGTAAAGAAAGGTTAATTACAGTCTCCTTCTGAGTATATAGGTCAGGTTGAAAATGTTTAATGAGAAGAGCTTCCGCACACCGTAATAAACATGGGTGTTCTTTGTTTGTTGATTATCGTGAAGGACTGAGAAACATTTATATTCGATTTCCTGTTTCCATCAGATACCTGGCGTTTGCGCTTTTAAAAACCTTGCTACCATTTCTTGAAATATGCTCATAAAATCGAGTAGATGTCCGTCTTTCGGTCCGTCCTATTTACTTGCTTCCACAAACACAGGTGAATTAATGTATGCGGTTGTTGGAGGTGACATGAGCTAGGTATTTATCTACTTTCGACTGTGTTATTGGGAATATTGTATTGTAAACTGAGACCAGTCTGGCAGCGAAGAAGCCTGGTGTAGTCAGGACGTTATTCACTAGAATAAAGAAGGCTGTGCTCAAAAGATAAACAAGAAGAATTAGGGATAATTAAGAATGCTCTTATAGAGAATGGATATCCGAAAATATTCAACATGAAGTATGGAAAAAAAATATTTACTGAGAGACCAAAACATCCAACTGTTAAGAAGCCTGTTTTCCTTCGCCTAGCATTCAAAGGTGATAAGATATCTGAAAGAATAGACAGAAGAATAAAAAGTGTATTGAGAAGGACGTTCTCTGCTGCCAGGCTGACCTCAGTTTACAATACAATACCCTCAATAACACAGTCGAAAGTAGATAAATACCTAGCTCATGTCACCTCCAACAACCGCATACATTAATTCACCTGTGTTTGTGGAAGCAAGTAAATAGGACGGACCGAAAGCGGACATCTACTCGATTTTATGAGCATATTTCAAGAAATGGTAGCAAGGTTTTTAAAAGCGCAAACGCCAGGTATCTGATGGAAACAGGAAATCGAATATAAATGTTTCTCAGTCCTTCACGATAATCAACAAACAAAGAACGCCCATGTTTATCACGGTGTGCGGAAGCTCTTCCCATTAAACATTTTCAACCTGACCTATATACTCAGAAGGAGACTGTAATTAACCTTTCTTTACTTTGGTAGCTGTATATAACTTTTTGCATGTACATGGTCCTCCTTTTTTTTGATTGCATCATCTCTTCATTAATTACACACTGACTGTGAATCACTTAACGGTTTTAAAGTCCCCCATGTGATTACGCAACCTACTGGCTCTTAAACAGTCCCTTCGTTCGCACTGATTTTCGTTTGTTATCCCTACTCCAGAATCTCCTATCTCGTCAGATATAAATTGTTACTGATTTTGACTAAGATTTGTAACTATTAGTCTTGGATTTCTCCGACTCACTCACTACCTTACTGTTAATTCTGGATTTCAAATCTCCATTTGTTTTTACATATTTAAAGTATGTCATGCCATAATTACTACTACTAATACCTCATTTGAATTGCAGACTGTTTTGCAGCTGATAAAGGAGCTTGAAATACAATGAGCTCATTTTATTCTGCAAATAGTCTCTGTTGTTGGATTGTTCAAATTTGTCAAGGGAACTAAATGTATGGCATATAATTTTGACTGATACCTTTCATTTTGGTGAAGTGAGGTGATACGTCCGCATGAATCCTTATTTGGACCGTAGAGCTCGTTCACAGCTGTGTATACAACTGATGTCACTCTATGATAAATAAAAACTTCAAGTATTTCCAAATCCTCACAACTCCCTCAAAATTCAATTAGACTGGTGCTCATTAGTGACTAGCTTCGAGAAGTATTCCCGAAGTTCCAATGAAAAGTCGTGACTGGTGGGGGCAAAGCCTGATGGTCGTGAGGACAGCTACTCAACGATGACAGTGGGTGGCGGTTGCGCTATATCGTGAGCTAACAGAAGTTGGAAATATGGACGATTGGATTCTGACCCAGTGGCTCAATGGTAACGTGCTGACCACGGAACCTGAAGTTCTCGGGTTCGATCCCTGGAGGGTGGAGTCGTGGGTGCGCACTGCTAAGGAGTCCCATACTAGGACGAAACAGTTGTCCAGTGCTCCCAGGTTTCCTTTGTTCCTCCAACTGACGTCAGTCTACGATGAACAACAACTTGAAATATACTAGTTGTGTTAAGTAATATTATTGGATTTTGAATTATATATAATTTGTATAATAATGTTCCATACAAACAAAAAGGTGCTCTATTGCTAAGTGTATTGTCTATTTGGCATGAAAATGAGCGATTCAGAGTAACATACATACTAAATATACCTCTGATTAGAAATAATACTCATTATTAACAATTTATATTCCTTCATAGAATGAAGCTCGAAAATGTAATCATCAAGAAGTTGTCGAAGAAGACAGACGATCTAAACTTCCATCCAATTGGGAAACAAAACAAAAACGTTTACAATGGGAAGAAGAAGATGAAGTATTCAAAATAGAATGTGCTAAACAAAATATAGATCCAGATAGAACACGTTCATTAAATGTAAGCGCTGAAATAGCCGATCGTCTTGAAGCTCGACGAAGAAAAAAACGTAATACTGATGAGGGATTTTCAACATATGCTGATGCATCTCATCGTAAATATCTTAAAATGACTAAACAAATTAAACCAGATCTAGTCTCTTATCAAAAAGAAAAAGAGAAATTGTAAGTATATGAACTATACATACACTTGTTCAATGTGATTGAATATCATCCCATCTTAATGGTAGTAGAATTTTCTAAATATGCTCACTATGGTATAGTTAATCATTCCTGTTACACATATGTGTTAAGTGTTGGTTAATTCAATTAACAGAATATTCTGTAAGTAATCACTCCCATTCAATTAGTTATTTCGGATTTGTCATTATTCTATAGTATGATTATCGGTCAGTGAATGCAAAACAATAGCTGAGTTTTTCTCTGACTTATCTTAGTGAGGTTTATCATTCTGTACTTCAATAAAATATCTCAAAACTAATATAAGTGTAAAACTTGGACACTGTAGTCGGTTATAATTCTATTTTAGTCTGTTTATTATAAATATCTTACAGTGAAACAGTAGCATTTACTGCATAGGCAATGTTTCAGACACAATTTATTGTCCATATAAGGTAACTTGAGACAGAGTTTGTATATTCTTAATATTCTCTCCTTCTTTCGTATATCTGGGACAGGTGCAGAATCATTTCTGTATCTGCGTGTATTTAATATCGATTCGATAAACAAAGATTCAGTTATCAATCACTCCCTCCATCCAACTAATTTTTCAACACTGTCGCCCTATCCCACCCTACTCTGTGTCATCGTATGCAGAGCTATAGCCGAGTTTTTCTCTAGATTTCTTATCTTATTGGGATTTACTAATCTTGATTTAGCCAAGTGTTTGTGCTCTGTTATTGTAATCGACCCTGTCTGGTCGACTGACTGCTTTCACCTATGTACTTGACCTCGCAATCATTGTAAGGGATCTGGTAAACCAGATTATTTTGCTTAATTGTATCGATAGTATCTTTCAACCTACAAAACTTGTTTCTCTCAGCGAGTTTGTTAATTTGAATGCCACTTTAATCCCAGTCAGCCTTATTGAGGATTCTTCGTAATGCTTCTGAGGTGCCTTCCCTGTATGGTAGCACAGCAGAGGGCTTTGAATTCTCTCTTAACCCTGTCACCATTATTACCACTAGTAGTGGGATTATTATTAATAACATCTGTATTACTACTACTAAAACTGCTATTATTTTCCCTTCGATTTCTTATGAGTTTATTTATAAATTTTGCTGGGTAATTATTGAGACGTAGGATATTCTTGATGTGTCTAATTTCTTGTCGCAGATTTTCCAATCTACTAGTAAACTTTTTCGCTCTATCACTTAAGTATTTAACTAGGCCTACTTTAACTGAAATGGGGTGGAAGGATTCGAAGTCTAAGTAGCAATTCGAATGAGTAGGTTTCCTATAGACACTAGTCTCTAGATTTCCTTCTTGTGTTCGTTTAATCTTGCAACCCAACATAGCGAAAAAGTTTACTAGTAAATTGGAAAATCTGCGACAAGAAATTAGACACATCAAGAATATCCTACGTCTCAATAATTACCCACCAAAATTTATAAATAAACTCATAAGAAATTAAAAGAAAAATATTAGCAGTGGTAGTAGTAGTAGTAATACAGGTGATATTAATATAGACAATAAAATGTGTCCAGTCAATGCTACTGTTTCACTGTGATATTTCTAATAAACAGACTAAAATGGTATCTCAAAACTCTCAAAGTGATATTGTTTACATCACAAATATTACACTTTTCATTCTATAATCACTGTCATCTTCATTTGTTTTCAAGTGAATGAGTAAAACTTGAGACATAATGTGTATGGTGATTTGACAACAACTGTGTAGCTATGGGATGAACTTTAAACTACCACCATTTTCATGTAGATAGCCAAAGTTATTTCAAGTTTCTATCTGCTCAAACTCTTGGAAAAAAGGTTCCACACCACTCTTCATCATCAATATCAACATAGGACCAGGCATTACTGCCTAACGGTCCGAGTTGCCACAGCTCATATCAGTGCATCTAGTAGAAAGGTAGTGAGGTGAAAGATGAAGTTAAGAAAATTTAGTCAAAAGAAATATAAAGTACTAAAATAGAGAGGGAAAGAATGAGAAAATGGCGAGATTTGGAATAGCGTTGAGATGAGGATAATGTGTGTATACATCTGCGCCACTGACATCAGTTCTGAGCCATATCCCCTAGAGTCTCCAACCACTGGTTCGTCTTGTCCTGCGGACCCCAACCACTTAGTCAGCATCGCCCCCCCCCCATGGCTCAAACCAACAGTCAAAGACTTCATGCATTGGTGCCATGTTTTAGTCTGGCCACCTCGGGCCTTTTTCCAGCCTGAGCCTACACACCACTCTCAAGTACCCAGTTATGTAATGCCAACTTCAAGCTGTAATATATCCGGATCTAGTATTTGAAGGTCGAGTCTAATGAGACAGAAAAACATGTATTTATTGAAATCAGTCATCTTCTTATTGTTCAGATTTGGTTATTCTGTAATCTAAGGTTTAAGCCGAAATATATTTCGTCATCAAATTGGAAACTACCATCGTGTACCCCCACAAAAGGAACTGGAGAAGGAATAACTTATTTATTCGCTATATCATCCCTTCAGTACTAAACATAAGAACACTGAACACTTTTTGATGAAAGTGTAGGCGGTATGTTGGTTAATGCAGAACTTTTGAAACTTAGAAGAACAAATTGTTGCTGACTATTTATTGCTTTGCATCATTTTAAAAAAAATCTTCCTCAGTTTTGATAAAATATTGCATTTTAAATTTCCTTTTCAGAGGTGAATTAGCCTTCCCAACAGCAGATACAATAGGACTGACAAATCGTAAAGATCCACCAGAAGCTGTTGAACGTTTAGCTAATCAAATAATTGAACAAGGTGCTAAACGTCCAGCGTATAGTCGAAGACGTCCATTTGATGCAGATGCAGATATTGATTACATCAATGAGCGTAATAAGCGTTACAATGAATTACTGGAAAGACATTATGGTAAATATACAGCTGAAATCAAACAAAATCTTGAAAGAGGCACTGCGATATAGTTTGATTAGAAAAACTCTACTACCTATGTACAGTATCGACAATTTTTTCAATCTTTATTCTATTGTGTCTTCATTCTTTCGAAAATAAATTGAGTTATATTTGTTGAAAAATTCTCTTCTTGTTTCTAAATGACCAGTCTCCCAGTATTCATTTTGTAGGCATGTGTGGTGAGTTGGAGAGAATGTATTATGACAGTTAGGATAGTTGTACTGTGGATGATATTGCAACGTAGTTATATTCTTAGCTACAAACTGAAATACAATAATGAAAAGGCACTTTCATTGGGAAACCATTGATATGTAAGTTGCTTTTTACATTGGGATGATCACCTTCCGTCCACAGCTTTTTAATGCCCCAAAATATAACGAATAGGAAAAAGAACAAAAAAGCTATGTAATCTGCACAAACAAAGATCTCCCTAAGCTCTACAATTCAACAGTACTACTTCTTGACTTTGTTTTTGGACGTTTTAATTAACTGACAGCATTATAACAGCAGACAGATAAAATCAACGTAGAAGCTCGCTCACAAATCCATCGGTTGAAGCTGCCACACTCCATAGTAACATTCAAAGAACAACTGCATCGAAAAGCCCTCTGATGTTAAAGTAGACAAAGGTGTATGGAAGTAGGAATTCGAAAACCAGGCTTAGTGAAAATCTCCAAACTTTAGAAGACGTCAAAGAGTGCGCTATTGCGACTGACTCCCAACCATGTTATCAGTGGTCTCCAATCAATGCATTCTGTGATCTCGGGAGCTCTAGCCACGCAGTCGTCACCTCTCCATGCGGCTCACACCAACAGTTAGAGAATTCGCTGACTGGTGCTACTTCTTGGTTCCACCACTCTGAGCTCTCTTGAAACCTAATCCACTTTCTCCTAGCATCGCACTTCGAGGTAGGTGGTGACGGCATGTCCAAGACACATACGCTGAAGGTCCCTCAACGCACAAGTAGGAAAACTGAAACAATCAAAAATACATCTAGGTATCTACGGAATTCAATGCCAACAAATCCATAACGATGATCTTCCCTTGCAATTCTGTCTTAATAATTTTCTTCTGGTTAACACTAACTTCAAGCGTAAGGGGAGATATTGTTTCATATGACATCCGCAGACGTCAAACCAACAGTGGGCACATCGTATTGCTGTATGATCTATCCACTCTTTTTACTCTACGGCTGTGAAGCATCGCTATTAAGGGTAGAGGGTACGAGAAGGCTTCAGATGTTTGACCACTGTCGCCTTCAGAGCATAGGCCGTTCTTCATGGTGTCACTGCGTGAGTAACGCAGAAGTCAGGTGTAACTTTCTAGGGAGGAGAGGTAAGACAATTGATGCGGTTGTGAACCTTCATCGACGGAGATGGCTGCGACGTGTCTAGTCACCGTCTGCCTTATCGTACAATGTCATCTGAAGTATGTTTAGGCTGGAAAAAGCCTCGGGGCGGCCAAACTAAAGCATTGCATCAGTCGCTGAAGCCCTTGCCTGTTGGTTTGAGCTATGTAAGGCGATGCAGACTAGCTGGTTGGGGTCAGTGTGACAACAGAAACCAGTAGTTGGAGACTTTAGGTGATACGGCCCAGAAATTATGTCAGTGGAGCGGATGTATCCACATTTAATTTTCCTCCTAACTGTTATAGTGAACTCAGCATTTCCCAGTTCCTCCCTTTAACTGCTTTTGGCGGATTTCTCTTTCTTCATCTTACTGCTTTGTTACTTGTGCTATGATGTATGAGAGCTTGAACCGTTGTGCAGTAATGCCTCATCCTACGTTGTTATTGGTCAAATTGCTATAAGCCATCGTTGAAGAGGATAGGTGAGCAATTGTCACGCTTTCAGGAGTTTTTGTTTTGGTCTCATTGGTTGCATGCTGCATTGGAAAATGTGAACTTCAAGTATTTATTTAGGGAGATTGGCAAAATTTTATCTGAGCGTGACAGCTATCCTCGTTCTGAAATAGCGCAATGTGATATTCAGTTTGCTGTTGAAACAGCTGTGCAGATAGTTGACAACCTAAACCTAAAGGTTAGCAGACGTCTATGGGTTCCCGCAACCTTACCCGAACTGGCCCTGATCATAATAACGAGTGAAAGCAGTTCAAACGTCAATTGATCAAGAGTCTCCGTGAGCAATGATGGGTGGTGAAAGCGACAGAGATGAAGAAAGCATCAAATAATACTCTGCGATTATGTAGGCTTATTAAGGATACTGCCAAGAAGACAATAGTTAGTGCGACCATCACCGTAAAGGACAGGACCCTGAAAACTTCTCACGACAACCTGCCAGGAAGTTGGGCAAAATACCTTGAAGCATAGTTCAATTAGCCCACAGCAACGTTTCAGTTGGCCAATATTATTGTGATGCCCCAGTTTTGTATAAAACATTGTTATTGATCTGAACATTTTAACGTGTCATTCTCACACCATTTTACGGTATGATTAGTAGTCTACTTTCTGCCCCCATAGTAATGTAAACCGCTAATTAGTCAATCTTTACTCTTACTATGCAAATGCCTCAAATTGAGGACAAGGTCATTTTTCATGTGTATACTTATTTACGTGTTTGGATTGAATTATTCTTATATTCTCGGAGTATTACACTCTCCCATCTGCCAGCTTCGGTCTTCTCTCTATTCGTCCCGGGGTCGCAGTTAGTGGCTCTTGCGTATCAAGTTAGCTGTCAGCTAAGCGTGCGTATTATATTCCGGAAGGAATATATGTATAACTATTAGCATTCGAAAGCATAACAAATATCTAACCTAAATCGCATGTAGATATCGGCCCTCTAACCCGTCTCCATGTTCAGAAAGCTGTATCGGACCTGAAACGATGCAAAGCAACATGGCTTGTTGGTTTGCCACCAGAGGTTTTTAAGAATGGAAGTAGAAAATAACGGAAGTACTAGATAGTGTGTGGTAAATCACAGGTATTTCGGTCAGATTGGTCTACTTTGCTGAGAAGTCTTCTTGTGACAACCGCAGGGCAGTCAGTTTAACTAAAATCGTATCCAAGATTTTCTGGTCCATAGTTATCTGACGCTTGGCTGGAGCTCCAGAACCAGGCGGGTTACGAACCTGGATGACGTTGTGTCAACCAGATCTCCACCCTTCTTCAAGTTATGGAATACAGGCATACTTACCGGCAGCCGATGCTTGCCAAATTTCTTGGTTCGAAGGCCGCATTTGACTCCATCCACTAAGGTATTGCGGCGGTGTGACTGTGAAAGGAGTACCGACCAAGTATGTAACGCTAGTCAGAGGAGTCTACAAGCAGTGGTATGTGAGTTGCGCGAATGGGCTGGTTGCTGATGAAATATGAGCCTTTATGCTAAAGGCCAGTTTGGTACTAGACCGCTTGGATCATCTGTGGTGCCGACGGGCGAGATACTTCACTACCTGCCAAAGGACAGGTATGCTACGCTTTAGTCCATTCTGTGCTGTGAGGCATGACCACTGAAAGCAGAAGAGACTATAGATGTCTTTGTAGGATTACTCGTGTGTTGTGGAAGCACTGAAGCGAACAATTTTGAGGTTAGGCGAAAAGTAATAAGGCAAGTCAGTCGATTAAACTGAGAAGTCAGAGATACCTCCTATAACCTAGGCACCCCCTTTGCTAGTCATCAATACCCTCATTTGCATATACTTCTTTATAATATTTCGTTGTAGTTTTGCCTGCACAAACACTTCTTAATGACTTATATCATCTTGAAGCACGAGGAAACACAGCGCAGCTTCTGACCAGAATGCAGAATTGGTTACAGATAAACTATGATTATCAACTGTGAAGCTGACTGACACCGAGTGTTGGGAAGATAACTTTGAATGTACTGCCTTCCATACAACTCGTGTCTTAGAGCAGAACTGACTCTAAAAGTAGCTTGAATATACAACGTGTAATATACAGACGAACCTGGCACACGAGTGCATCGGTTCAAGTTGCCACACTTCATAGTAATATGCAAAGAACAAGTGCATAGAAAAACTGATATCAAAGTCGACAAAGTTGTGTGAGAGAATAAACAATCTGAAGATGACAATTGGTGCAAATATTCAAGCTTTCGAAGATATCAACAAGTGAATACATCTGCACCATTGTGACCACCTCACCAAAGAGTCCTCAACCATTGATTCCTTTCGCCTTGGAGACCCTGGTCAGCCAGCCTACATCTCTTTACTCGACTTCATCTGAGTGGTGCCACGTCTTGGTAAGACCACCGTGAAACGTCTTTCAACTTAGTCCAGCTTACCCCAGCATAGTATATCAAGGTAAGCGACGGCTCAGTATGTGCACTGCATCTTCAAGCCATTTTAGTCGACCACTGATGATCACGTGAAGCAATAATACCACCCAGTTGCACAAGTCTGAGTTAAATCCAGTGATCAAGAGTCTAATTCACTGTTACAGATTAATGCGATTTTGAAGAAGGGTTGACTATGTCACTTAAGTAGTGAGATTATCAACAGAACGAGAAATCCAAGCACATGGTGTTTTACTGTCTGTTCCCATCTCGATAATTGTATTCATGTAATTCCAGCAGATCGTCAATACGTTTTAACTCTTTACTCCTTGAGTGAAAATAAGGGATGCCGATCAGATGACGACCGGTGTTTTCAACGTGGTATGGTCGCTAACGGTCCGTGGGACAAGAGAAACCAGCGTGGTTGGAGACTCTAGGCGATATGGCTGGGAACCGATGTCAGTGGTGCAGATGTATATACATATTATCCTCATCTTTACGCTATTCTGAATCTCACCATCTTCTCATTCCCCCGTTCTCTTTTCATACTTTGTATTTCTCTTGACTGAATTTTCTTTTCTTCATCTTCCACTTCACTGCCTTTTTACTTGATGTACTGATATGAGGTATGGCAACTGGGGGACCGTTACATAGTAATGCCTGGGTCCTATATTGATTTGGATGGATGGATGGCAGATTAGAATTCCTAGATTCAACAGTCGAAGCAACTATTTATAAGGGATTCGAAAAGCGAAAATATGAAAGAAAGTGAGTTGTTAGATTGCAAACATTGTAGTCCATAGAGCTAGAATTCAATACTTCATGAAAAGTAATCTCGTGAGATTCTCACACCTGACTGAACCACTATTTTTTGTTCTCATAAGGATCTTCTTGTACACTGTATCGCTTTGATTTACAACTTAAAGTAGTAATCTGGTATTATCCACACCAATTCGAGGGTTAACAATACAAGTCTAGTGAACAGCGAAATATCTCTCTACACATCAACCCACCAGAGTTTGCTTGCAACCCCCGAATATAAATATCCTATTGGGATAAATCGTAAGTATCATGTAGATGTATTCAGAAAGTATTGAATAAAAAAGAGAAATTCATTTTTTATATTTCTTCTTATTTCCTGTTCTTGGTCTAGTCAAATGACCAGTACCTCTTGTTGGCTTAAGACCATGTTCTGCGCGACCTCCTTGTAAAAATGCTCTACTTGGTATTTGATGATCAGATCGAATTCCAAAGAGTGCAGATCGACTTGTAACATCATTTAATGGGAATGCTGCTGATGTACTGTTCAAATCACATTGAAATTCTAATATATTAGCTAACTCATCATCTTCAAATTCTAATAGACCATTTGTAGCGACAGGAACCACTTTCGAATTTTTAGGTCGAGCTGGTCTTCTATCAGGAAGACGTTGATCAGCACAATAAATTGGTTCATCAGCATGCTTTCCACCTTTTGGATGCCTTATAGGTTGCTAAAAAATAAAAATATAAATTATTAAATATATATTACTTACTTTTAAACCACGTAATCTAGGTACGAATTTTTTTGCAAAATGAAACTGTAACTGTCCATTTTCATGTAGAGTAACTGGGATTCTACGCAATCTACCATGACCACACCATGGACAAAAATATGTGTCCATACGTTTTGTAGGCCTGTGTGAAAGTAATGAAAATGTAACAACAACAAAAAAAACTTATACTATTGGCATAAGTTAGCAGTAGAGGAAAAAGTCTAGATGAAGTATGTTTCTCTAAGAAAGCTAAATAAAAAGAAATAATTTTCTTTGATGAATAAATTTCCAACAGAAACGATACAAAGTAACTAACTCTGTGAGAAATACAACCTTACAAGAAGGTACATAGAGATACGTTAAGATTATTAGGATAATAACAGTCTAAGACTTATACAAATATAGCATATCTGAACACATTTACATTTTAGTAGGTGTGAAAGAAGACTAGTATTATTTCCAAATCCTGTACATATTACCCAATAGGTAAGCGTCTGTCTGACGTACCCCAACTAGCTAGTCTACATCCTCTAATATGGTTCAAACGAATAATTAAGGATGGCATGCATTGTAGGACGGTGTAGAATAGCCGGCTGGAGTCCATGGGACAACAGAAGCTAGTCGTGTGTACACATCATCCTCATCTTAACTGCTATACTTAATCTCATCATCTCATTCTCCCTTCATCTATTTTACTTCGTTTGACCGGTTTTCTTTCCTTCTTCACCTTTTACTTTATTGCCTTTTTTACTTGATGTGCTGATCTGAGGTGTAGCAACTCGAATCGTTACGCAGTAATACCTGGTTGGTTCTATGTTCATCTTGATGATGATCATGAAGCATCTCTATACATCTTCAGTCTTTCACGTAGGCTTAGATACACAGTTCGTGAAGAATGTTGGCATTCCGCGACCCCTTCTAAAATGCATACAGCTCCTGAGTACTGTTGATAAGAAAATACTTGTGACATGAAATCATGCCTGCCTTTGATGGGTGACATAATATAACACCTACACAAATTATAGACCCAAACTCTAACTATCAACACACAAATAACCCAACCAAATAGTGTGACATCGGCATGAGGTAATTTGTTTTTGCCCAAGAGATAACTACACTACACTTTTCAATAAACCAAAAATTTCTTTACCTTATATTTAAATCCATCTTGCTTATCATATGAGGGAGAAATCTAAAAGGTGTCTCTTTCACCTACCAAGGCAAAGCAGCATCGTTTCAACTACTGGCGTCACAAGAGCATGACGGTGTCAAAGCCAGGCTCTGTGAGACAGCAGAACAGCCATATATCGATCTGAAATCAGTGTGGAGATCTACTGCACTGCACTGCACTCAGCATAAAGCGTCAACAACATCCGGATTTTCAATACTAATGTCAGTCAAGTCAATGCTTCTATGTGATGGTTGAGAGACTTGGCGAGTCTCAAAACGCATTCCCAACAAACTGCAGATATACATCAACACCTGCCGCCTACGCTTACTCGATACTGAAGGTCAGATGGCCAGAATAATAAGAATAAGCAACAAGGAACTCTGACCTGGCAGCAAATCAACCAGCAACCTATCGCCCAACTGCTAGGGATGCCGATATCCCTTAGATTCCATAATTACAGTTTGGTATATATTTGAACTGTTTACTCGCGCTCTTTTCCCACGCATGGGTCATATTTTGTATGACCTGCTTTTGTTTAGATTGGCTCCTGACTCTCTAAATGTACCAATGGTTCCTTGTCTTTCAAGGTCGTTGTAAACTCTATAGATAGGTTGTTTTCACTCATAAACGCTTCAGTTCGAGATACTATAAACTCATCTGGTTTACAGTCGTTTGATTTCTCTTTGCAAATCAGTCGAGTTGGATGGTCTCAACCCTCGACTATCAAACGTCAGCCATTTTCGTTCGTTCTCACAACTTCTTAATAGCGTCACATTAACGCCTTTTACAATTGGATTACTGAATTCCTATTCGACAATATGATCGTTGTATATTAATTACTGCATATCACCACCATAACTAAACTTCGCCAGATCAACTTAATAATTATTTATGTTTCTCTTGATAACATACTTTTAATTCTCAAGATCGGATATAAATACGGTTGAAATTCGCCGTTGCATTCTATACTCATGGCACTTAATTTTTCATATTTTCCTTGACTGTTTTAAGGTTATCCCCATTTTTTATCGATCTATATTTCTAAAAAAAAATAACGAGGGCATATGACACAGCACTTAACAAGAATCAATACTGAGTCCCGGGAAATGCTGCACAATATACAACCAAAGAGGAGATAACATTTTTACTTGCTGGTGTATATCCTAAACCCTTCTAATTATGGAATAGGATATGAATGATCTGTTGAATTAATCACATAAAACATATGTGCACTAGTCACTTGTTTCCTAGTTGTTGTTCAACATTTACAGACGAAAAACTGATAAGAAGCGATCTAAATGAAAATCAACATTTTAAATCACCAGTCCCTAAGGTAGATTAGGAAAAACCCTATTAGACAATTTCGTCCTTCAGTTGACCAATCAGAATAAGCTAACTAACTTCTGACCTAGAGGTTTTATATGTTGATGAAAATTGTATATATAAAATGATGTGTTTTTGTAAAATAAAGTTGGCTTTCTTACTGTCATAGGCTAGTTTTTGTCTGCTGATCTTCACGGGGGAGAATAGTCGCCATTGATATCCAGTCCAATTGTCGCATTACGTTGATAGCATCCTCGTATTGTGTGAATTATTCTGTTAGTCACTTCAAAAAATAATCACACTGTATCAGTGTGTATCGTACTCAACAAAAGCTTTCATCATTTTCATTATTGCCAAGTAATCTTATGATTTGGTCATCCCAAGTTAAGCATTATTTGAAATATGTATTTTTTATGCGCCAGATCTTTGAACCAGTGAACTGAACTGATGTTTTAAATTGCTAAGTAATACAAATCAACTGAGTTCATGTACATATACTAAAAATCCTATATGACTGACTGACAGTATTAATTCAATCCCAATTTACCAACCAAAAAGAGAGATTTCATAAGCGAATCAAGCAAAGTAGATACTTATGAGTGACCAAGTTAGATGACTGTTTTACAGATGTTAGCATATTACGAGTCTATCGGTAGAAGCCTTGGACCTAGGGGTTTCGTACTTGCTGGCACTTATTGCCAAGACGTTACCTACAGCCGTGAAGGAACTGATGTCCTCTCGGTGATTCGAACCTTCGTCAACCAGAGTGCTGAAGTCGATAGCCTAATCTCGATAGTATTCAGAACACAACTGGCTCTCTGTAGGACTGGATTAGATACACAAATCAATCATCAGCCGGTGACCGATGTAACTGATGGAATAATAATAATAATAATAATAATAATAATAATAATAATAATAATAATAATAATAATAATAATAATAATGTGATATTCTCACTACGTTTAAGTAGTACAAAATGAGAACTTTAACGCTTACTTAAAGCATGCACAACACCAGAGTAGGTGTGTTCTTGGCTGTCGAATCCGTAAACCATTCATGCTAACTATCTCCAAACCTGTATGGAATAGAACATTTTGCATTGCGAAATCAGTTGTCAGACAAGCTACAATAACTGTCTGGGCTTGATTGATTGGTTCCATTGTGGGTCTAAATTAGGAAACATGCATATTAGTATACACTGAGGGCTAAAAATCTGTAGCATTACATGACACATATAGAGTAAAAGCTGAAGAAACCATATACAGAACTAGAAAATTTACAGAAATTTCATCAAGCATTCTAAACCCTTCACTATACGCATAGTTTTCAGTTTGAATAGACACATTCAGTAACCCAACAACCTATATGCTGGAAAATAATCTTAGTTATCAGTTGGAGAAATACTGGAAACTTGGGAGCACTGAATAGCTGTTCCATCCAAGTACGGGATTTCCTCAGTAGTGCACACCTATGATCCCACCCCGCCAGGGATCGAACCCAGGACCTTAGGGTTCCGTGGCTAGCACGTTAGCATTGAACTACTGGGGATCCAACAGTCCATTCTTTTTAAAGGTTTATCATCCACAGTTCGACTTAACATCTGAGTATCTTGTATGCAGCAATGCATTGTATCCCTCTCTTCGTTAGGCAGATATGACAAACTTTGAATATCACATGAAAGTTTGAACCTGTGAAGAAACACCTTATGCAACACAGTTTAAATAAGAAATTTGACTTTCTGAGACGAAACAATACGTCCGAAAACAAGAATGATAAATTGTATCGCTATTCACGAGTGTCCCAAAAACAAAGTTTGTTCTTATGCAACTCCATTTAGTTTCGAAACTTAGAAGATGATTTGCTATACACAACTGCCAGAAAGCAAAGTATACTACACGTTTAATAGAAGAGCGTATTTGAATATTAATGGTATGGGTATGCGACCACCACCATGTGATGAACTCCTTTATGATAAGCCTAGAAAATCATCCATCATCCATCCGGATCAACCTAGGAGCAGGCATTACTGCGTAACGGTCCAACTTGCGACAGCTCATATCAGTATATCAGGTAAAAAGCCAGTGAAGTGGGAGATGAAGAAAAGAAAATTCAGTCAGAAGAAATATAAAGTACGAGAAAAGAGAAAGGAAAAATCGGAAAGTGGTGACATTCGAAATAGCGCTAAGATGGAGATAATGTGTGTATAAATATGCGCCACTGACATCGGTTCTCATCCCACCGACCCCAACCAGATAGTCTACACCGCTCTACATCGCTCAAACCAACAGTCAGAGACTTCATACATTCATGCCATGTTTTAGTCTGGTCACCTCAGGTTTTTCTCCAGCCTGGACCTACTTCAGCCAACATTGTGTGACAAGGCAATCGGCGACTAGGCATACATAACACATGTCTCAACCATTTCAGTCGGTGAAGGTTCACAATCTCGTCAACTGAATAACCTCTACTCCCTAAAACTCTACACTTGAGCCGGACTTCTACGTTACTCATGTCGTGACACCACGAAACACGGCATATACTACGAAGCCAACGTTGGTCGAACACTTGAAGCCTGCTCATGTCTTCCACCTTCAATCGCCATGTTTCACACCCATACAGGAGAACAGAACGGACTGCTGTGTAGTACTCGTGACCCTTAATTGATAGCTGGATATCACGGTGGCGCCATAGGTGGCGTAAGTTGGCGAAAGCCAACCTAGTCTTTTGTATGTGTGCAGAGATTTCATCGGCCACTGAGCTAGCCACCAGAGCAGGGCTTATCCTACTTCCCAGGTAGGTAAGTGAATTGGTCAACACACTCAACCACTGCACTTTCTAGTGTTAACCAAGGCACCGTTGAAGACCAGTCCAGGAGCAACAATTTGCATCTAGATGGTGAGAAACACATTCCAAACATCCTCGAATTGCCACTCAAAGTGTCCAGAAGACTCTACATCTTGTCAAGGCCTAGGAAATACCACTCTACTTTCAGCTATCAGATAACTTTGCATGTATAAAAGATAAATGAGATCCTTTCCGTTTCTTCTAAGAGTTTGAACCAACAAGCCAGCTTCAAAGTATTAAAAGTAGCTATTTTCTTATCAGCTTTCACTTAGAATCTAGATCTAACTCAACATTCTACTCTCTTGACATCCAAAAACAAAGAAGACCCGAAAATGCTTTCGCATGTTACTAATGAGCGCTATACAGTAATGTGTTTTGAGGTGAATGGTGATCTTATATTTAAGATGGTATTCAGCATGGACTGGCATCAGTTAGAGAACCATTGAAAACTTAGAAGCACTGGACAGCTATTTCATCCTGGTATGGGAATCCTCACTAGCAGGTACTAACAACCCCTTCAAGAACTGAACGCACAACCCCCAGGATTCGGCTCACGGCAAACGCGTTAACCATTCAGCTACTGGGTCGGAGTCCAATGGTTCGAAGTTCTCAACATCTATCCATCTGAGATATAGCGCGGCTATCAGTCAAGGTCTTTAGTTGGCATTCGCTTCACTTCCGAGTGGTTAACCCCACAGGTCACGGGCTTCTCATTAGAACTTCAATCCCTGAAATCAGTCAGTACCCGCACACTTCTAGATTGAAGTACCGTTTACTTCTCATTGGTAACATGCTTCAAGATGAATATCCAGAAGTCATGATGAGCTGTGACCTGTAGCGTCAACCAGTCGGAACTGAAGGCGATGCCAATACAAGACTTTGGTGGATAGTCCCGCTACATCACGAATAGACATAAGTTGGAAACTGTGAACTGTTGAACTCCAACTCAGTAGCTGAATGGTCAACACGTCCGTCGTGAAGCATCACTGTACTAAGAATTTACTTACATCTGGTAAAACCCTGAGTACAGTAGTACTATTCGGGGTAACATAGTGGAAGATACTAATGAATCTGGACGTAAATATCTTGCTAAAGAATAGAATTATTAAGCTCAATGCATGAAATAAGACGAAAACTACATCTGAATTACTCAACGTACAAAAAATTACGTTTCAATCCAAAATCTGTCATAGCCTTTTCATCAAAGTTCTCTTCGGTTATCCAATCATCATCAGCAGGTTCAAGAGATTCAGTTTCATGAGTTTCCGGTGTTTCGTTTGTTGTCGATTCCTCATCTTCATCAGATGTATCACTTTCTGATTTTGATTTGGGCACTTGACAACGAGCCAAGAGTCCAAGATTATTTGGCAAAGGTTTCTGATAGTATAAAAAGCATACATAGTGAAGATATTATATAGACAACTTACCACTTCCTTCAGTATTGGTTCTCCAAGATACTTCTTATGTAATTCATATGTTAGTGCAATTACACTAATATCTGTTGCAGAAAGAACCGAAAAATCTCCTGTCTTCTTTGCGATATCTGTGACTACACGAAAATAAATGATATACTTAAGTCTTGCATAGGCTTACTAAACTTTACGGACTCTTTTTCTGGCGCTTGACAATTCAGGACATAAGGTAAGCATTTCATATATTCACGTGTTTGAACATCTTTTATTTCAGCCACTACTTGTGGTAGAGTGTAAATATTTGCACCAAAAGTCTAAAACCGTATGAGTATTACATTAAGAAAATTCACCTCCAAATGTATCCGCTTTACAAAAGGTGCCGTATCAACAACAATGTGTGAAGTGTGCTCATTCGAAACCATAGATGATAAGGCTAAGGATAGTTAGTGATAACAAAACCATCAAAATAAAAATAGTTTTGGTTAGTAAACAGTTTTACATATATGGATGATGATTGAAGTCAGGGAAGATAACTTATTCAAAGCAACACAAAACTTACTCAGGTTTCTGCTCAAGGCGGTTACAAGGCTCGGGTCTTCACCTAATAGGACTATTACATCTACTTAAGTCAGTGAGATGTCTTCCATGTGGTAGTTAGTTTGTGAGATGCCAAAGATAAGCAGAGTTTCTTCTATGAATGAATTTATAACAAAAATAGATAGGAATAGCGGAAGTGAAAAGCACCAACATACGGCAGTGGGCGTTGCCAACTCAGATAACAACAATTCAGAGCCTTAAAACGATTAAGTGAGTTCAGATACAACCTAGGTTGATATTGTATGCTCAATTGATATCAGCTTAACAGTTAGCCCATCTCAAAATGCATCAACAGAAGGAGTCGAATCCTACGCCTTAGCGACCGATGGTTAGGTCCGGTTGCTTGATCTCATCTAAATTTTATAACGGTCTTTATCTCCCTTAAAACTTGAAGGGTCTATGAATACAACTCGTTCAGCTTTAACTTACTAGGTTGATATGCAAAGTGTTCCATCAAAACATTTCAGTCATCTAAGTTGAAGGAATGATCAACCTGTCTGGCTGAGTTTCACTTACTGTCAACATTTTAGTAGTAATCTACTTGATTAACCTTGGTATATATCAACTTTGCAAAGTACTACTAATGCCTTCTGTTTTCTCAATAATCCACCACTATTAGCATATAAGCTGTATTTTGCTTCCTATAAGTATTGCAACCAATCAAAAAATGTTCTTTAGAATCACTTAAGCTGTAGATAAGCATTCACTTTTACTAACTTACAACTGAATGTTACCGTCCCCCATTAACACTATTGCTACAGCACGACAATATACTAAATTAGGATGAGAATAGCCACTAAGTTCCAGTAAACGACGGGTGAGTGTTATTCGAAAAATCCAAACTTTATGCAGTCATACAACAAAGTGCGATGATAATAAAAAATGTTTCTCACATCCATTCACTATTAGACAACAAAGAATGATCAGAGCCTAGGCTGCTTGTTAGAAAATAAAACATATGAAAAAAGTAAACAGAAACAAACTTTACCATCCGATCTGTATGAGCTTTCGGACAGTTTACAACTCATTATCAGCTCCCATATATCACGTGAATTTTTAAACCATTAGTATTTTAATATAGGAGTCAATCATGGGCATTCTAATGACACTCAATCTTATCTTTCTTGGTCAATAATACTATTCTCGGCATTTCATTCTATGATTAGCTTTCGATAGGATTCAAAGACAAACAAAACCAACGTAGAACCTCGCACACAATTGCATCATCCCAAGTTGCTATTTCACAGCAGCATGCACAGAGCAAGTGAATAGAAAATGACTGGTATCAAACTAGACAAAGGTGTATATGAGAAGGAATTTAGAAACAAAGGGTTAGTCAAAATATTCAAGCTTTGGAAGAGGTCAAAGAGTTAATACATTTGCTCCACTGTGATCTATTTCCACCCATATCACCGAGGGTCTCCAACTGCTGATTTTTATGGTCTAGGGAACCCCCAGCGACCCCAGTCTACATCTCCATAGACGGCTTGCACCAACAGTCAGAGACTTCACCGACTGACGCCACGTTTTACTCCAGTCACAATGAGCCCCTTCCAACCCAATCGAAATTCCCCGAGCATCGTAGGTAGAAGTAGGAGGTGGTTCAGTATGCACAACACATATCCAAGCCACCTCAGCCATTGAAGGTCCACAATCTCATCGACCAACTGGCCTGTCTTGCTTACTACCTTTCGACTAACCTCAATATTACTCACGTGGTGATCCCACAGCAGGTGGGCAATATTACAAAGACGTGTGATCAAAAACCTGTAATCTCTTCACATATTATCTACTTTTAATAACCATGTTTCGCAGGTGTATAACAGTACAGAATGAACTAAAGCGCCAAGCCTTCTGACAGGTATTCAACATCTAACCAGTCAGCCTCGGAGACGATGCAAGTCAGAAAAGACAGACAGACTTTCTGTATCCGAGCTGAGATTTCGTCAGCAACCAACCAGTTCACGCAAATCCCCAAGTAAGTGAAGTGGTCAACGCATTTCACCACTTCACTCCCTATCCTTAAACTGAGAGAAGCTGCGGACCAGTTCTGAAGCATCATCCTGCATTTGACAGGTGCGAAACCAATACCGAACATGCTCGGATGTTTGCCCAACACGTTCAGAAAATCTTGCATTTTGTCAGCATCTTCATTTAGCAGGACAGTATCGTCTGTGTACTTCAAGTCAACGAGATATCCTTCAGAAAGTAGATCAGTCTCTATGAATTCAGACGCACTTATGTCCATTATTACATCTATAACGAAATTAAACAGGAATGGTGAAACTGAGCATCTCTGGCAGACATCACTAGTCATTGTCAACTCAGATGGAAACTTTCTATAAGTCCTCATACAGATGTATAATTTTGAGTAGACTGTTTTGGTTAGCGTTACATACTCACTCGTTACTCCCTTCACAGTCAAACACTGTCACAACACCTCACGGTCGACAGAGTAAAATCCTCCCCTCAGGTTAAGTAAGTAATATAGCAAGTGTCAGTGTTCCTATGTTCCATAACCTGACGATATGTAAAGATCTAGTCGATGCTCCGTCATCCAGGTCTGAAACTTGTCTGCCTTCCTTGAGTTTTCTGTTTTCGATCTCCAGTTAGGCATCGGGTAACGATGGAACCCAGAATCTGCCACCATTTTGATCAAACTGATTCCCCATGGTTTTCACAAGAAAATGTTTCCCTCTTCTTATAGGCTGGAATGATCAGTGAACTAGACCAGTTTGACTAGATTACTGTTGGTTACCGTACACTAAATAGTACCTCCGTTACTCTACGCAGTAATCTCCTACGTCCATTCTTAAAAGTCTCTGATGAGAAGCCATCAAGCCATGCTGCTTTGCATCATTTCAGATTAGAAACAACCTTCTCCACTTCGAAGAAAGTTACAGGACTAATATCCCTGTCCCACTCAGGTTCAGATGGGATTCTGGGCAGCTGAAGCGTTTCTATGAGCCAACTGAACCGTGCTTCAAAGTGTTCTGTCTAACGTTCTTCGCGGTTGTTGTGAGAGGTTACAGGAACCCATTCTTTTCGGTGATAGTCTCACTCACTATCGTTTCTACTTATTAGTTTCCCTTATAAGCCTAGGTAGTTGTTGAGCATTACCTAGTGGTGATACCTTCATCATACCTCTCGCATCCTCCACCCACCACCACCTCCCAGTCATTGCGAAGACTCTTAGTCAATTTACGTTCCAGCTTCTTTTACCTTTCACTGCGGTCAGAGCCAGTTGGAATGAGTTTTCTCACATAAATCAGTTCGGATAAGGCTGCAGAAATCTATCAATGTTTGCTAACCCTTCAATGTAGGTTACCAATTAACTCTACATCTGTTTCTGCAGCAGACTGAATATTGAATCCGGACAAGGATTGCTGTCACGTCCAGATGAACGTGACTACCGTTGCCTTCGTAGCATGGGCCGTATTTCGTGGTGTCACCACGTCAGTATCTCAGAAGTCATGAGGCGTTTTACGGAGGAAAGGGAAGTCAGTTGATGAGGTAGTGAGCCGTCATCCACTGAGTTGACTGCGACGTGTCTTTCGTATGCCTAGTAACCGTCTGCCACGTCGCGCAATGTTACCTAAGGTATGTTCAGGATGAAAAAAGGCTCGGGCAGCCAGACTAATGCATGAATGCATGAAGTCTTTGGCCGTTGCTTTAGGCAATCTATGGAGATGAAGAATAACCGATTGGCTTCTAGGTGATAACAGAAACCAATGGTTTGAGACTGAGTGATATGGCTCAGAACCGATGTCAGCGGCGCAGATGTATCCACACTTAATCTTCATTTTAACTGCTACGCTGAATTCAGCATTTTCTAATTCCTTCATCCTCTCTTTTACTGCTTTCTACTCCTTTTGATCGATTTTCCGATCTTCATCTTTCATCTTACTGTTTTGTTACTCTCAGCGATACTATGAGATGTGGTAACTTGCATCCCTGAGCTGTAATACTGGATCCTATGTTGATACTGATTGACTGACTCACGTCCAGATAAATGACATGTTACCTCCTCCCAAAATGCGTACCTGAAGTTTTCGTTTCCCAATCGAGCATGCACAGGCTTCCCAGCTACCTGATTTCTGCGACTAGTAAGAACCAGACATACAAGTGCCTGAATTAATGCGTGACTGCAGTTCAAAGAGGTACTCCACAGAGAGCGATAATCCTCCACCGAATTTAGTAGTGAGTTAGTGGCTACAAGACACAATATTATCACCTAAGAAAGAATGGCGAACAGCTTTGCGAAGCGGCTAACAGAAGTGTAGTTCATCTGTTTACCTCCAACTCAACATTGGTAAGCGTATTTTTCGGTTATTCACGGCACTGTCTGCAGAAAAAGGAGTTCTACATATTCTTAGTGTGACTTAAATAGCAAGCCTATCCATTCTCCATCTTCCGGCCCGAATTGTTCAGTTTGAACAGCTCTGACTATCTGTTGCTACGTAACTAGGTAAGACTGATCAATGTGATGGAGTACAGGTTCATAAAAAAATCAAATAACTGTTAGGACTGTTTGCTGCTAATTTTCAAAAATAATCTATTCAGATATTTAATAAAAATTTACAACTGTGGCATACTAATTCTCATTACTAGGCAATGCAATAATGATAATATACACTTGGAGAAAGGATTTGAAGATATGTATATAGAAGTCATCAGTGTATGAGTTCGTAGCCATATAATCTGAAATATTGACTACTATAACACTTCATAAATTCTAAAACTGTATGCTATACTGCTTACGAGGTAAATAAATGAGTTTTGATCACTTTATGGGTTTTCCAACTGCTTTACATTTACACTTAATACGTATACATAAACATACGTACTGCAGTAAGATAATTATTGAGCGTCAATGCAATGAAAGTAGTTCGATAAGAGTACGCCACAGAGAAAAGTGCTTTGAACCCCTTCTAAAGGCTGAAAAGTGACAGGCAAAGTGAAGACGTATAATTTCCTATTCCCAGTAAAGAAAGTGTGGTGGTGATAATTTGCTTGAACACTAGCAGAGAAATCCAGAACGCACATTTCCTTCGGTTTGGGAATCGTCTGCTGAGCTTATCTTTATTTGAGTGAGTGATAGCTCCCCAAGTAGGACTAAAACCCAGTACCCATCACTTGAAGCACCACAGCGCCATGCACTAGGCTAGAGTTATGACAGCAACCTCTTGTGCAACGGATATCAACTGCTATCTAGTGATAATTGTAATACCCCGTTATTACACTGGATCGAAGTGACCCATTTTTGTTAGAATACGGACAGACGACGATTAGGTATGCGTAAGGCGTTTCAAACGTTAGTGCCTCATTAACTGACTTTCCTCTTCTACTTAGAACTCTGCGCCTTACTCCCGCACCGATTACTTGGTCGCACTACCACACAGCGTATGCTAAAAACGCATTGACAATCAAATACCTACAGTCTTCTCATGTCCTTCACTTTCAATGGCCATGTTTCACGGCCAGACAGAAAAGAGCATACTGCAACATAGTAACTCAGTCTTTAATAGACAATCAGATATCACGGTGGTTGGAGACTCTAGATGATATAGCTACGGTTCGACCACAATGACGCAGAAGTATTCACACATTATCTTCATCGTGACCGTCATATTGAATTTGTTTATTATTTTGTGATTCTTTCTTCCTTGCCTCTTTATTTTTCAACTTGATGCATTCTCACTCGACGGGACGTGTGGTAACTTGGGTCGTTACGCAGCAATGCCAGTTCGCAAGTCGATACTTATTTATCTAACCAGATCAAAATCCACGACCACCGTCATTAAATACCTCTGCGACAAGCTCAATTTGCTCCACTACCCTTTCAAGTTTCAGACTACTGAAAAGGCTTGGGGGCGTTATCTCAATGTTCCATGCAGCATCCGGCTGCATAGTGGGCAACATAATGGCAGCTTGAGGTCGGCTGAACTGTTGCTCGAAGTGTTCCACCCAACGTTCTAGTTGTCTTTATCGCAAGTGAATCGCAGATCCATCTTCCTCTAGCATAGTCTGACTAACCGTTGATCCTATTTCTTCAGTTTCCTTGATGATTCTAAATAGCTGTCTATTGTCATTTATCACGACTGCCTTCTGGATTTCTTTGATCACTACTCGCCACTGCTCGCTATCAATGAGAACACTTTCGTCAATCTATAATTGAGCTGTTTCTAGTCCTCATTGGGCTCGGAGCCTGCAGGTTTGCATTCACAGGTATGCATTTACCGATTTTTACTACAAGAACAACAGTGTACAATCTCAGATTTCAAGGCTTTGTGGAGGGAAATGGAATCTGTTTTCAGTGGCTACAGCTCAAGTCACGAATACTCCCACCAGTTAACAAACCAGCCTAAAAACTAAAAGTGGCCAGCCCAGTCAAAAAGTTAAATAAGAAAGTTTCGTAACTGACTTAGTAGTTAGCAGTGGGACCTAAGATGCGCGTTTCATCTCATTTGGGACTGTTCAGCTGGATGTACATGCATCCAAATGAGGTGTTCTCATTGAGAATTGAATCTGGTGCCCAACGCTTCAAATGCGTCCTGGGTTCCACTGCTGACCACCATTTCAACTTTAGGTGACTAATACTGGAGCAGTATAGCTACATTCGCATACGAGCTCTTTTGCCGACAGAGGTCGAGCAATCCAACTCAATGTAACAATGGGAAATTACAAGTACCAGTAAATAATGATGCGAAATTTTTGTTTCCCTTTCGAAGTGGTACTAATTTAGTGCCCGGAGCAAAAACGATAAGTTGGCACCTTTGTTGAAAGACGGACGTTTTGGGGACTTTCGTGGTGAGTTATTATCAGGCTGTTGTCATGTTGATTAAATATTAGGGGTTGAAACCCAAGAACAAAGAGAGATAATGTGAGTGACAATAGTAGATTACGGTCTGGTAATAACTACTTTTTCTCGATTTCGGAAAGAGCAAGAACAAGAACTAAATTAAGATAAAATAGCTAGAATTTATTTCAGCGGTATGTCAACTTGCAAACTAGGATATCAACACATATAGTTTTTTTTCGAAAATTAACAGACTTTATCCCATTTGAAGACAACTCAATACCAGACCGCATTGATAATGATTAGATACAGCTATGGCTTGCCGGTAAACCATAACAGAAAATTCCAAGAAGGAAAATAAAATGTAACACGAAGAAAGTTGAATACTGCTCAATGACATAAGTAAGGCAATTGAAGTATCTCTACGATCAAAACACTGAGGGGCTTCTTGGTGCCTAGTGCAATGAACCAGGATCTACTAAGTATAGTAGTGTCTCATAAGACGTTGTAACATTACATACGTATCAAGATACCTGTGTTAAAACATTTGTACTTCTCCCTAATAGTGCACGAAATGTGGAACTTGTCATTAGTAAATATCACTGGTACACAATTAATATAATTGGAAAAACAATGGTAACTCACAGCTAGTTTGTCATTCGGGTCAAACAAACGTGACACAGTAACGCACCACTTGAAGATGTATCTGTTGTACACTTAAGCTTCCACCATTCAGTATCCAAAACCAATTGTGAGGGTATGGGTAGGTTATGCCTTTCAAACCCCTATGTCTAGATTCTAAGTCTCAGTTGTTTTTTTACACTTGTATTTCTCAGTAGCCACAAAATTATCTTCGGCTGACACCGATCTAGATCAGGCGACACTAGTTGTTTACTTGGAGATTTTCTTTGGCAGATTGCATATTTTTTGGTTACATACGAAGCTGCTCATAAAATGAATGAAGATTTGTCGCTCCTACTGATATAGATGCCTGAAAGTAAGTAACGAACCATTAATGCAAAAATAATGTGAGGTAATAATTGCGAGATCAATGAGTACAGAAAAAGCAATCGGTAAAAATAAGATAAAAAACGAACCGATGCGGTGCGACAGTGTTATCTTTAATAATGTGGAAGCAGTATGATAAACTTTATATATGCTGAGGCGAAGCGTCACAGGGATGGATAAGACAATATTCATTTTATGCTGTCTTAAATTTTTGGCAATCTGTGTGTGCTCGTGTATTTTGCCATGTATTCTCCCTACTTAACTTTCCTTTCCTATGGCATTCAATGTGTGTTTTTCTATTGAGTACTTGGGAACATCAGTTCCATTCTTTCATGTGGTGTAAGACTTCTGTTTTTGATTACTATGTCGGGTAGGGCAGAATGTGCCGCTGCTTTGGGGCCATGACTTATGGAAGTCTCCACAAGGCTTCGTATGAAAGGCCAGTGTAGGTGAGGTGGATGTCTCATTATACATTAAGAGGGCCCAGTATGCGAAATGTCATGAACGACACTGTTAGTGTATTCGGTAAGCCGGAACAGTTTCCAGACGTTAAGAAGTTAACTGGTAACCGACCAAATTCAGAGGTTGATTTGGAGACCTTATATTTAGCAAGAAGTCTGTTCCACAACTGAGCGAATTTTACGGTGAAGTTTGTACGCAAGCAAGATTTGAAAGGCTTCATTGTGACTCTGTGGGCGTGGTTGTGCAGGTCGCACCAACCGTTGTGCTGGAACCGAAACTCATCGCTGGCTGTAAGAGTGAATTTATGTAACACATTGCAGAAGAGCGTTAGGTTAATTTTGAGTTGTCTCATCCAAAGCGGTTCTAGAACAAGGGTTCTGCATCTGAGACTGTAATCCTGTTTGCATTCGTGTCCTATTAATCTAGCTGTGAAATACCTTTGAACACCCTTTGTTGGTTGGTCTTGTATGCGCATATCACTTAATATAAATGGACAATATTCTAACAATGGACCTACTCAAGTTTTATAGAGCATTAGCTTGACTTCTTTGAGGCGCAAGTTACGAATTAAGCAGCCCACTAGGATCCTACTTTTACAGGTCTGTGGTGCCACCAGTTCAGAAAATGTGAGGTCCCCTGAGTATCTAATCCCAAGGTCACATACACTTAAGAACGGGTAGTTTCGTAGACTGAAGACGTAGTGGGATGTTCACCTATGGAGCACCAAAACATATCCAGCCACATTTGCTTATATTGAACTGAAGTTTCCAAACAGGAGATCATGCTGACATTATATCAAGCTTCCTTTGTATTAGGGCTTGGAAGTGAGAAAAGTCATTGTGGGTGAATGTGTGCGCAACTTTTAGGTCATCAGCAAACAAGAATGGTTTCCGCTTGTGAAGCAGCGGCAGATGGTATTGACCTATAAAATAAAGAGAAGGGGACCTAATGCACTGTCCTGAACTACACCAGAGGTGATTGGCCGAGGTTTTGAGGTGCGTGAATCTACTTTTCCCACTTGAGTGCGATTACTAAAGAAAGACTTGATGCATCCCAATAGTGGATGGTCAGTTCCCACAGACATCAGCTTACTTATTGACAGCAAGTGATTAACGGAGTTAAATGCCTTTGAAATGTCCAGATAGAGTACGAGGATTAGTTGGTGGCGGTTGCGTATAGTGGTTACGAAGTTAAAGAAGTCAAGATGGCAAGTTATACAGGACCTCGATTTTAGGAACCCATGTTGACTAGATGTGATGATGTCGCTAACGAGCATTTGCTGAAGAATGATTTCCTCAATAACTTTCTCCATAATTCTTGAAAATACAGGCGTGACGTTTATTGGTCTGTAGTTACTGGCTAGTGATTTTGAACCGGATTTATATCTGGAGATGATAAATCATGTTTTCTAGATATCACGGTGTGTGAAATATCCAGAAGACAGGGAAAATATTTTCAGCAATAATAATGGAATATCAGGGCCACCGAATTTAAATAAATGTTGTGATACTTCGTCTGCATCGGTGCTGCTGGAGTATTTCAGCGTCCTAGTGGCTTGGTGAATATTAGGATATGTGAATTCAACTGCATCTATCGTCGTTAGTGGAGGAGAAGAATTGCTTTTAATAATGCAGGCCGTATTAGTACCACACAAAAATTTGTAGGTTCCAGATAACTAACTGCAGATAAGTCACTGAATATTTCACACGTATCCACTGGATTATTATAAGCTTTGCTTTCATGGGTCAGAAGAGGAATGTTATGTCTTGTGTAATTCAATCGCTTCTTCAGGAGTGTTGGTAAAGCGTGTATTGTAAATGATCTAGCTAGCACACTACTCTCTTCATTCTTCAGACACAAATCATGGTTATGCGAGATAGAGTTATGAATACTAAGAATCAGTGGGAGCGCATCGAGGTCGTGATGTCTGTAGTATCTTGTTGAGAGTTTGAGCAACTTTCGACGAGCACTGAAGGGTATATGTGGCTCATTGTTTAGCTGCATTTTTTGAAATCTTTCAGTGTACCAATGCTATCGAGACAGGTTTTGGAGTTGTAGTAAAACATATCAATGGTTAATTTGAGGTCTGCAGTGGTGAAGTATGATCCCCAGTCCATGCGCCTAACCACTGGACACATCTGCTACCAGTCCGTTCTACCGTAGTCTCCATATATTATTTGGTGGGAAATGAGATTACCAATTGAAGTACTAATTGCAGGAAGTGGTACTACACACAGTACCGTTTTGTGATCAATTTCTTGGAACTTGGAGCCCGCTTTTGTCAAACCGGGGCTATACCGCGGCGGCTTGCTTCAACTCTGGGCTACCGTTTTCTATCATCGAGTATATTGCATCAAATTTCTTATTTCTATATTGTTTTAACCGTTTAATCGTGTCAACCAATCGTGTTGTATATCCTCGCGCGTTTTTAAAATCATTACGACCTATCGTCTTGCAAGTTGATAGAAAATTTAGGGAGAAGCACCACGGTGGATGGCAACGAGCTCTGAAGCGTACGATCACAGATCAGATGACTTCCGGAAATACTCAGCACAAACTGCAGGTTGTTGTCGAATAAAGTTGATTGCCTTCAGTTACTCTTGTCCACAAATGTTTATAGAAACACGGGTGAAATAATGCTGCAGCAAACATGGCTTCATAATCTGTATGATGATGACTTAGTCTGTTTAGATAGTTTTAAATTATTTCGACAAGATCGAAGCTTTTCGAAGGAGAAATGTGGTGGTGGTGTAGCAACATTTATTAGCACTAACTGGTCGTCCTCCAACTATGTATGCTTCTGCTTCTCTAACAAAGAAATTGAGTGCATTACCATCAAACGTCGTCCCAAACATTTGAGCAAATACAAATACATATATATCACAAACATGTATGTCACACCTGACTGCAGTTTCTCAGATTTGTCAAATTTTGCTGATAAATTCACTGAATTTGCTGCTCCAGTTCATGGAGACTCCTTGTCTACTGTCTGTGGTGATTTTAACTCATGTGACTACAGTTGTTTATTATCATTGGGTCATAAGAATATGGTTAACTCTTCCACTCGTCTTGACAACATCTTAGACTTTGCATTTACAAATGAACCTGGCATATATGAAGCCCTTTACCAGGCTTCACTGCTAAATTATGACCACTGTATCGTTCGTGTTTTGCCTAAACTGTACGGAAAGTTATACAAGAAAGCTTTTGCATACCTTTCAAGGAACATTCAATACAGATGCTATTCACAAGAAAATATGTTACGTTCGAGAAGCATGCTTATGGAAACGGACTGGGATATATTTGCTGATGGGGTTTTAGACAACACTATTACCAATATCACAAGCTATCTCAGATTCTGTCTCCGTATCTGCTGCCCTACTGAAACAATTTACATGAGATTTGACAGACTTTCCTCTCCTCATCTCAAGAGGCTTCGGAGAGAAAAGGAAAGGTTGTTTAAGGCGAGAGATCACCCTGGCGTTAAAAGGCTTAACTGCCTAATTAAGTCTGAAATACAACGTCTGAATACTATATACAACGAGTTCTTATCGTGTAAGAACTCTTCCAATATATGGAAATTATATAAAGAGCTTACTGGTAAAAAACAGATGACAACACAAACTCGTTCGGATGTCTGTGCGTTAAACAAGTCATTTATACGTCGGCAAGCCAATTTCACCCTTCCTAATGTGCAAAATCAAGTGGATAGCTGCTTTCCAGGTTTCAATACAGATGATGTATTTAAATGTCTAAAGTCTTTGAATCCCTTCCAAAGCTTAGGTCCTGATGATGTTTCCAGTATCATATTTAGAAAATGTGCAGATATTTTGTGTCATCCACTTACAGATATCTTCAATGTATCCTTCTCTAAAAACATAATACCCACTGCTTGGAAGCAGATAAAAATTGTACCTGTGCCTAAGCCATCTTCTGGATCAGATGTTACTTTCCGACCCATCGCTATAACTTCCCCTTTTCTGAAGACAATGGAGAAATTACTTCCTCTTGTGATTGAGCCTTCATTGATGGCCTTCGAAGATCCAAAACAGTTTGCTTACAAACACTGGAGGAGTACTTTAGATGCAGCTACTGTCTTGCATCATAATATTGTTTCTAGTCCCGACAAAGGTGTTAAGTATGTCCGTTGTGCCTTTTTGGATTACTCATCAGCCTTTGACTCTGTTCCTAGACCACTTTTGTTAAATAAGCTTGCCATAGCTCACACTGATCCA